GATTTGGTTCAAAAATGGTTTTGAAAATCATGCTACATTTTCACAAAATTGAGACATCTCCAAAACTCTGTGTGTACCACATAAACTAGTAAGTAGTATGTATACAGGTAAAATGAATGCATAGGTGTATTGTCACATGTATTGCACATGTTTCCTGAAAAAACTTATACAAATCCACGTAGCCGTAGCCGTAGCCGGTCCCGTAGCTCAGTTGGTTAGAGCGTTGGACTCCGCGTGGTGAGAGCACGCGTTCCCGGTTATGACATTCCGGGTTCGAGGCGCGACGACGGGCGCTCGACATTTATGGGCCTCCTGACAGGTATGGTTGCGGTTGGTGGTAGACCGTAGCCAGGCGAAGTCAGCGAGGGGACCGGCCGTGCGCGGCTTTGTGCGCACGTTAAACTTTGGACTCTAAATTCTGCCATAGAATCGGAATTGCGCGATCGGAGGGTAGAGGGCAGGGTCATCGCAACAAGCTTCGCTTAGCGGTGGCTCTGTCCTTGTGAATCCTTCCCATCAAAAGGTTCGGACTAAATTTATAAAAAAAAAATCCACCCATTCATTCATCATCCTCTTCCTCTTTTCCGGACACATGCGTATTTTGAGGTGGATGTGGGGTGCCAAGGGACAGGGAAGAAAAATAAAAAATAATATATAAATATAATTTTTCTTTCATTAGGCATGGAAAACACCAAATTCCACTTAAATTGCTGGCAAGTTCATGCTTTCATCTCTTACACATTTCAAGTTATAGAACAAAACACCTCAAAACTCCCTTAACACTCTCTTTTACAATGATGGGTCAATGAAGACTGATGTAGGTAAATGTGATGTCATCATAAAAAGGTCAAAACAAAGAAGGCAACATAATGACAAGTGACTAGCTTCAAAATGGGTTTTTGTTGATGACAGAAGGGTACTTTTAGTTCTGTTTACCTTATAATTAGCACATTTTCCAGAAGCGTAGACTGCATTATATGCAATTGGCCATTAGTGTTGAATGAACCTGACTTGTTTTGTGACAGAATATGCAAAGCATCTCAGTAAATAAATTGTGTGCCCTTTCACACCCCAATTGTGGGCATTTGATGACCATTTCTTGGAATAATGTAGGTGTCCCTTAACACCCCACATTGGGGTGCTAAGGGACAGCGATGAAAAATAATAAAAAATAATATGCAGGTGTATATTTTTAAAACTTTAATGTAGCAGGCATGCAAAGCACCAAATTCCACATAAAATGCTGACAAGTTGATGCTTCTATCCCCAGCCCTTCTTGAGTTATATAACAAAACATCTCAAAACTGTCCCTTAACACCCCATTTTACGGTAACTTAGGTACCTATTAAGGATGTTAAACAGAGAGGATAGTGCCGTAGTGGTCCTGAGCTTGTCTAGCCAGTTCTTGAAAGTGTTTGTGTTTTCAGACATTATGATCTCCTGAGACAGCTTGTTCCATGCTGAGACTACTCTGTTTGCAAAAAAAAAAATTGTTCAAGCTTGGGTCCTCCCTGGACCTACGTTTCTCAAGCTTGAGCTGGTGACCTCTGGTTGTTCTTCCGTGGTGGCTAGTGAAAAATTGACCTGGGCATATGTTCACTTTCCCCTTAAGAATCTTAAATGTTTCTATCAAATCTCCTCTTCTGATCCTTTCTTTCATAGTTATCATGTTTAGTACTTTCAAATGTTCTTCATATGGTCCTCCTTTCAATCCATGGACTAGTTTTGTGGCCCTCCTTTGTATTTTTTCAAGTGCTTGCATGTCTTTAATCAAATAGGGACCAGCTGCTTGCACACAGTGCTAAGATGAGGTCTAACATACACTGAAAAAAGCGTTTTGAAGTTCTTCGCTGTTAGTTGACCAAAGGTCAGCCTCAGTACCCTGAGGGCAGACATGGCCTTGTTTGCTGACTTGGAACAGTTCAATGAAAGTTTCAGTGTGTTGGTAATGTGCACTCCAAGGTCCTTTTCTACAAGAGTTTCCTCAAGCATTTGTGGTCGCCCAGTTACTGTTTTCATTGTGTAAGTGAATCCAGGATTTTGGGAGCCACAGTGCATTACTTTGCATTTTTCCAAATTGAATTGCAGCAACCACTCTCCAGACCACTTGGTGAGTTTATCCAGATCAGCTTGCAACTTAAGAGCATCACTTTGATTACTAACAGGTCCATACAACTTGGTATCGTCTGCATACATTTTCATCTTGCTCCTGACCAGGCTTGGTAATTCATTGACATAAATGATGAATAAAACAGGACCCAACACTGAACCTTGGGGTACCCCACCTCTGACTCTAGACCATGTGGACAACTTGTTACCAACCGAAATTCACTGGGTACGGCTACTCAAGAAGTCTGATATCCAAGCAAGGACTTCTCCCTAGATATTATAACCTTGTAGCTTCATACAGAGTCTACTGTGCGGCACAGTGTCAAAAGCTTTCTGATACCGTAAAATGGGGTGTTAAGGGACAGTGGGGTGTTAAGGGACAGTTGCATGGGAAAAACTTTGAGTCATATTGACTTCCTAATTTGAGAAGGTTCAATAAAAACTTCAGTGTGGTAGTTGACACTGTTCTGCTCTTGACCATAGGACAAAATGGTATGGTTTTTCATGCAAGTGATTTGGTTCAAAAATGGATTTGAAAATCATGCTACATTTTCACAAAATTGAAACATCCCCAAAACTCTGTGTGTACCACATAAACTAGTGGGTGTACAGGGAAAATGAATGCATAGGTGTATTGTCACATGTATTGCACATGTTTCCTGAAAAACTTGTGCAAATCCACCCATTCATTCATCATCCTCTTCCTCTTTTCCCGATACATGTATATTTTGAGGTCGATGTGGGGTGCTAAGGGACAGGGAAGAAAAAATAAAAAATAATATCTAAACATAATTTTATTAAGTTTTCTTTCAGTAGGCATGGAAAACACCAAATTCCACATAAAATGCTGGCAAGTTCATGCTTTTATCTCTAACACATCTTAAGTTATGTAACAAAACATCTCAACACTCTCTTTTACACAATGATGGGTCAATGGAGACTGATGTAGGTAAATGTGATGTCATCATAAAAAGGCTAAAACAAAGAGGGCAACATAATGACAAGTGACTAGCTTCAACATGGGTTTTTATTGATGACAGAAGATTACTTTTTGGTTATGTTTACCTGATAATTAGCACATTTTCCACAAGCGTAAACTGCATTACACGTAATTGGCTAAAAAGGTCATTAGTGGTGAATGAACCTGACTTGTTTTGTGACAGAATATGCAAAACATTTCAATAAATAAATTGTGTGCCCTTCCACACCCCAATTGTGGGCATTTGATGACCATTTCTTGGAATAATATTGGTGTCCCTTAACACCCCACATTGGGGTGCTAAGGAACAGTGATGAAAAATAATAAAAGATAATATGCAGGTATAAATCTTAAAAACTTTAATATGGCAGGCATGTACATAAAGCAACACATTCCACATAAAATGCTGACAATTTGATGCTTCTATCTCCAACCCTTCTTGAGTTACATAAGAAAACACCTCAAAACTGTCCCTTAACACCCCGTTTTACGGTAGTCTGGGTAAATTATAAAAATTTAATCAAGTAGCATTAAATGTTAATGGAAAATGGAAGCCTATTCTCTCCAATAGGTGGACACAATACTGCAAGTACCAGCCTATTATCATGTTTATCAATCAGAGTAGCAAGGGCTGCATTTATGCCCATTTATTCATATACGTATATTTATTGACCAATCAATTTTTATCTTCGCCTCATTATTTCCCCAAACTGAAAGCCAAAGGGGGCATTCAAATGCATAAGCCCCTTAGAGTCAGGAAACTGTAGACTTTGAAACTATATAACTCAGAAACAAAGCATTGCTCGATGTTGGGTGGCCAAATCGAAAATTGCAAGCCAGGGACCCAAATTTGGCTATCTCAACTCAAAACTGATGTTAAATGGATGGTCACTTGAACATGTTCAACTGTAAATGTGTAGAGCCCACACAAAATTCCACATCATATACTAATGGCATACAAAGAAAATCAGTCGGGCGCACTAGGGTAATTCCGTTCCATATATAGAAACGTTTCTTTATTTGGAAACGTTTCTATATTTGAGATGTTTTTTGTTCCATATATAGAAATGCTCGTTCCATAAATAGAAATGCCAACCTTCCGGACGATTTATTTTAAAGCAAGATGCGTTATATACCTAACTTTCTAGATGGTGGAATGCCATCCAGTGGCAAAAAGGAAGCACTCAGGTGAAAATGGCACGTCAATTTCGCCAAAACTTAAAACATCTATTTAGCCCAAATTAGCCAATATTCAGTATAAGTAGAGCAGACGTCACACGAAGGTTTTCCAACCAAGGAGAGGCGCTATGCCTGGAGATACTTCTTTCTAACAAAACCTAAACAAACCTAACCTAACCTAACCTGACCTAACCTAACCTACAACCTACAACCTACAACCTACAAACCTACAAACCTACCCTACAACCTACAAACCTACAGCGCCTCTCCTTGGTTGGAAAACCTTTGTGTGACGTCTGCTCTACCAATGCCCAATATTCTGCCAAAAATTAGCCCAAATCAGGTTCTGGACGTCATATTTGAAGGGAAAGCTCAATGGAAGTTTTTCTCTTATTCGCAATTTCTTCTACATTTTACACAAACTGGAAATCAAATCGTCGTCATTACCATGGGCCACCATGGATTTCTTCGGGCCTCCTTGCGATTATAAACTCAAATGTTGGCTTGTCACTGGTGGTAACCGTTTTGTGCGAAATTTCGCCAGAGCTTGCAAAGATCGTCAAACAGGTGAGCGTGCACCTACCGTTTCCAAATATAGAAACGCAGCGTTTCCATATTTGGAACAAGCGTTTCTATATATGGAACATCGTTTCCAAATATAGAAACGTTTCTATATATGGAACGGAATTACCCTAGTGCGCCCGACTGAAATGGCATACAAAGAGTGACTCACCTTCAGAGCATTGAGATCAATGTCGTCCAAACTACAATTAACATTTTGTGAATGTGCCATCTCCAGTAAAATCGATGCCTTTGCTTCACCAGATGGATCATAAATTATTAATACCTAGATATTGATGTATGTATCTGGCAGAAATGATGCTCGAACGCAGAGACAGACTTATTTCAGATCGCTGTTACTGGGCAACAAAGACGCCAAGTAAGATTCAGCACGATCAATGTTATAAATAGTGCATCAATATTCTTGCATGGTCAGAATCATAGGCACCCTCCAAATCCCTGATAATTCCAAAGATCATTTCCGTGAAGTTAATGTAAACATCACATCCGTAATAATATTAATGCAATATTTTCATCGCAAAACTGCACAAACACACAAAAGCCGCAAAATCCCGAATAACACTCAAGAAACAACATTGACGCATTGGAGACATTCATGGCGAAGACGGGTGGCACTTGTCGTACAACACTTCTTTGAAGTTAGCCTGTAACTTAAAAACCACTGGGTTGTTGAGGACAAAAATACCCCCAGTCGATTTGCCATATGCACTTTCTAATGATATTTTGAATATAGGCATCTCAATTGACCTTGATGACCTTGAGAGATCGTCTGAGCGTTTTTGCTCATGGCAGCTTTCTATTCCTACCCGTAGGTGATGTCCGGAGAAATTGCCGAAAGGCGATTTGCCGAATGTCATTTTGCCGAATGCATTTCAACGAATGTCATTTTGCCGACGTGCTTTTTGCCGATGTGTCAAAAAGTCGAAATGCTAAAAGTCGAAATGCCATTTGCCAACATGCCTTTTTGGGCTGCCTCGCCGACATGCCATGGGCTGCCTCATGCCTGCCGATATGCCTCGGGTATGCCTTGCCGATATGCCCCCCCCCCCCTCACTCGGGCATTTTTAGGAGTTCCCTGTCGGAGAGCCAAGAGCCCAGAGAGCTGCGCCGCGCAGAGGGTGGTGAGGACACCGGCGAATCGGTCCTAAGGGGCATACCTATAGGTACCTACGAAGTCGGCTCTGAAGTCTGAGACCGGCGGAGGAACGGGCAGCTCCTCAACCCAGGGCCCACTGGCGGATCCAGGGTTTCAGCGCGGGGGGCATACCAGGTCACGGAGCCAAACCTAGGGTACCCCCAAATCATGTTTTCTTATCGGATTTAGGCCACTTATTTTTCGTCATAGGCCTGTTACGATAGTTTTTTTTTTGTAAAAAAAAAAACAAATGGGAGGCCATCTGACCCCACTGGCAGATCCAGGAGGGGCTTTTGAGACAAATACCCCGGCACTGCCAGAAATCGACGGAAATTTACGTTTTTGTTTCAGGAATAAGACGAAAACATAACTTTTATTATGAAAAGTTTGCTTTAAAGTGTACAGCAACGCGTAAAGAATACAAATCCGATCAGTTTTGGGGAATTTGGATTTTGGAGAGACTTCTTTGAGTGTATGCACTTCCCGCAGCGTCGCTTTTTGGATCCGCAGTGCCTGGCCCATGTGTTTTTATATTAGTTTGTTGCCCCCTCACGTCGCCCTACTAGACGATTAAAAAATCGAAAATACAAACCTCTAGCCTCAATCCTACCTAGCACAAAGTATTGCGCTGAACCCAGCGGTGTAACTGTCTTTATGTATGGGGGGTGCAGGTGCACCCCCATCCCTTGAAAGTGCACCCCCATCACGTCAAAGTGCACCCCCATAGGCTAAGCGGCGCCCCACACGCCGCCCGACACCGATAAGCTCTTGAGCAGAATATGGCGAGGGTGATTTCCCCGCTACATTCCGTCTCGTGACCGACGTCGTGCTGCTTGCGGGCTTGAGAAGCGTCCAGTAGTATCGTTCCCCAAAAATGGGTGAAAGGGACACTCCGGCAAGAACGGGACTTTCTCAGCAAAAGTGGAACGCCCGAGGCAAAAGTGGGGCACCCTCAACGTACTGTTAACGCCGGCCAGACCCCTTGAGACCCTAATTTTTCGCGATTACTTTTAAATGCGTGAAGGAATTTCAACCAAGCTCAAGACATGGCCGTTTCAAGACAGGCCGAAACTTTTACAATTTAGATATTTTATCGCCATTTCAATATTTCAGGCACTTGTCATTGACTCGTAATGTTAAATTTCGAGCAAGATTTTCATCCGGTGTGTAGAGGCTATCACCAGTCAGTCTGTGATACGTTATGACGTCACAGCTAAGCCCCGCCTCTGTGGTCTTGGCCTGCGGCGGTTTCGGGCCGGCGCGCGGTCACTCTCGCTGTGGCGGGGAGCGGGGACGGGCGACGGTCGAGCGGTGCCGAAAGCCGGCGGAGTTGTGCGTAGCGTCTTGGCTGACAGTGCCCAGAGAGCGACATGATGACTAAGGAGTCATAAATGCTCAATGCACATTGCTTCTACAATGCTGATATGTTCGCTGATATTTTTTTTTTTTTTTATAAGCTGCAAATGACGGCAGGGCGTATTTTAAGGGATTTTCACTGGGTCGGCAATCACAATTAGGGGCGGCATTTTGCACTCATAGGGGCGGCACTTGGCATCTGAGGGGGGCGGCATACCTACTGATATTTAATGACCAAAAAAGAAACGTTCGACGGTTCTTTTATAGCTCCTTCTAAGTAATGATTTCAGATTCAACCTAAGCTCAGCGGTATTATGTTTATTTTCCGGGATATAGTATTTCTCTCGTCATAATGCGATAAATGAACTATAATTTGACTTTACAAATATTAATTTAAAATTTTTACCTGAGGTCAAGTTCATGACCTCACCAGAAATAAAACATGTTGCATACCTACCAGTCGATTCGTATCGTCAAGCTTAAAACATTCACGGTGTTTTATGGCTCTATCTATACATAGAACAGTGGTCGGCAGGTCGCACGAGTGGTGTCCACTTTATGGGCGCTGGACGGGGCCATTACCGCCACTAATCATACCCCATTGCTTACACAGCAAGGGTCGCTGATATTCGGCCATACCCTTTGACGCATCTATTTTCTGCATATAAATAAAATGCAACACAATTAACTCTTTTTTATGGAGAGGGAGAGCGGGTGGAGTAAGGATGAACTCATACATTTTTTATTTATTAGTTACTCGCGTGATGAACAGCGTATTGCAACGATACGTTCATCCCCCCCCCCCTCACGTTAATGAATGGTATACCTACCTACTCAAATATTTTCGTGACCCCAGTGACATTTTCATTGAGTTTTTGAAATTTGAATGAACTTCACTCGGTAACTTTCTCTCCGGCTCGGCCGGCGGACAAAACGCAAGCGAAGGCAATGCGGGAAGTATACGGTGCTCTACCAGCTGAGCTACGGAACAGGCAAATGCTCACCATAGATACACCGACTGAACGATCCCTTTATAACGTCAGCGATTGATAAGACAAACAGTGTGTAACTGTATATATAAAATGTAAGTCTCGAAATTGCTATGTCTTTGACCAAAGGTAAGGACAATTTTGCGACCCTTCCATTAGGTATAAGGAAATGGGAGAAAATCAGGGCATGTGCCTCTTTTATAGGTAGAGAAATGTCAAAGACAAAGTTAACGAATTTAAACATCATAAAACAATTAAAAATGACATACTTAATCGGAAAATTGCCACCCACGACCACGACCCCTCGTTATGTCCTTGAGGTCATGTCAGGTCATGGAAGGCCTCCAGCAGTATTTTCAATAACTTCTGATAGAGACATGCGACATGCCTGAGCGATGAAAACACCTTAGATGATTTCAGTTTGACGATACAAATCGACTGATATGCAACATGACCTTTACCAGTCAGGTCATGACCTGGACCTGAGCTCAAATTTCCCAAATGACATTTGAATGTCAAATTATAGTTCATTCGACGCATCTCGACGAGAGGAGCACAGTACTGAAAAAAAAACAATGTCATAACTTTCGTGAGTCAATAATTATAATAATAATTATTATTATTACTATTTACTGTAATAATTATTACAGTAAAAAGGTTCTTCATTAAAACAGCTCAGTAGAGGGGTGGAGGGGGGTCCACTGTCCAGTGTCCACTCCAACCCTCCCCGGCCCGGCACGGGTTAAACTAGTTGTGCTCTGGAGGTTAAGCCGTTGATGTTAGGTCAAGTCTGAGGACTTTATAGGAACGTTGAAGAGCTATCGAATGCGCTTTTTTCGCGGTGCTGTAGTTCTATTCTTCCCCGAATTATACGCCAGTTTGTCAATAAATGTTGAAACAGACAACATTTCACCCACATTTCACCTTTGATGACCTCTGGTCACCTGATATTTGACATTTGACTTGACCTAACCAAAGTACGGTTAACCAACTAACCCAAGTAGTTTTTGACACTCTTTCGAATGCCGCTTACCGCGTGTCGCTACGTGGCCCAGTAGCCAAGTTATAGGGGTCGGGAGGGGGGTTCAAACAGCCTCAGCCCGGCGCCGGTTAAGGGAAGGCACCATCATTTTGGGGGCGCTGCAGATATGCTAAGGGACGACAGCATCATTTTGAGGCGCGCCACCCAGGGCGTATTTTAACATGTTAACTGGGTCGGCAATTGCCGACCCAGTCACGGAGAATGCCGACCCAGTGACAACCGTTTGCCGACCCAGTTGCCGCCCCCTTTAGGATGCAGCACGCACATGCAGGCTAGGTGCCGTCATTCATAGTGAGGCTGCTGCCCTCCGAAATTATAATGCCGCCTCTTTAAGTGAAGCAGCTGTCTATAGAAAGTGATGATCCCGCAACTCAATGTGACAGTGCCGCCCCTAAACCTGTTAGTAGCCCCACTCAATGTTATGGTGCCGCCCTTCTAAGCATCTATGGAGCCCCTCAATGTGATGATACCGCCCCACAAGAAGATGATGCCGCCCCTTTCAGTATCGGTGGCGCCCCTCAATGTGATGGTGCCGCCCTTAAAGTGCCGTTGGCGCCCCTGAATGTGATGGTGCTGCCCGCCAACGAGTCGGTGGCGCCCCTCAAAATGATGCTGCCGCCCCTTAAAGTGTTGGCGCCGCCCCTCTAGGTGTCCACATAGCCCCTCATTGTGATGGAGCCGCCCCTCAAGCAGATGATGCCGCCCCTCAAGAAGATGATGCCGCCCCTGAATGTGATAGTGCTGCCCGCCAACGAGTCGGTGGCGCCCCTCAAAATGATGCTGCCGCCCCTTAAAGTGTTAGTGCCGCCCCTTATAGTGTCAGTGACGCTCTTCAAAGTGTCAGAGGAACCCACCAATATAATGGTGCCGCCCCTCTAGGTATCCACATAGCCCCTCATTGTGATGGAGCTGCCCCTCAAGCAGATGATGCCGCCCCTCAAGAAGATGATGCCGCCCCTTTCAGTATCGGTGGCGCCCCTCAATGTGATGATGCCTCCCTCAAAGTGCCAGTGACGCCCCTAAATGTGATGGTGTCTCCTGTCAACGAGTCG